CCGCTGCTGTTGCTCTGGATGATGAGGGGTGGGAGCAGAAGATGATGGCGGTGGTTGTTGGTCTTGAGCATGAGACGCGTCGTCGTGTTGCTGCTGCGGTGATGATGCAGGAACTCCACTTAGAATGATTGTTGGAAGTTCGAAATCTGCAAAGGTAGAGAAGGGAGGAACTTGAGAGGAAACAAGAGGGAAAGAAGATTTCCAAGAAGACGGGGACATGTCTTCATAGAAGATCACGTCCCTTGACACAATGTCTCTTTTTAAGAGAGGATCCCACATCAACCAGCCCTTACTCTCCTTGGCCATGCCCAGATGCATGCCCCATGCTGCCTTGCTTTCAAACTTGCTGCGTTTGTCATCCAGCACTTTGTACTGACTCATACAGCCAAAAACTCGAAGCATGGACACATTTGGCTTTGCGCCGTATAATGCTTCATAGGGTGTGACACCCTCAGCAAGGGAGCTTGTCAGCCGACGATTCTTGACCCAAGCAGCATGGGTAACGGCTTCTCCCCACCATGAGTCATCCAGATTCATGTGGGAGAGAAAACCTCTTGAGATCTCTTGAATCGTACGGTTGTACCTCTCAGCAGTACCATTTTGTTGAGGTGTTGCTGGGCATGATAATTGCTGCTCAACTCCAAGGTTGGCAAGAAAGGAGCGAAAAGAGTTAGACATGTACTCTCCTCCACGATCAGAACGAAAGATCTTGACTTTGAGACCCAACTGACGCTCGACATAAGGGAACCAGGACTGAATAACACCGGGAGCTTCATCTTTGGATCCAAGAAGGGAGATCCATGCAAATTTTGTATGATGATCAATGAGGGACATGACATATTTTTTCCCAGTACGACTCGGTGTACGGGAAGGACCCATCAGGTCACTATGAATGAGCTCAAGTGGTCGAGAGACTTCAGACTCAGAAGAATAGAAAGGATGACGAGGAAGCTTAGCCTCAACACAAGTGTGACACGATGACTGAGAGGATGACAATTGCTTGGAGATGATAAGACCATCAACGCTTGCATGTGCTTGCATGCGTGTGATGCTGGACTCTTCAGGATGACCGAAACGACAATGCCAAGTGTAAGGAGATGCAGAAGTACCAGGATGAAGTCTTACCGAGGTGGTAGCCGCAACAACTGAAGGACTGCTGTAGGGCTTGGCAGGAGGATGTGCATCAATCTCCACTCGATAGAGACGTTCATTGCGAACACCTCTTGCAATATGATGCCCAGTTGGAGCACGAATCTGCATTGAACCATCTGAGAAAGAAATAGAGATACCCTTCTCTTCCATTTGACCAACTGAGAGAAGGTTTGCTCCAAGTGAGGGGACAAGCAAGATGCCTGAGAATGACATATGAATCCCCTCTGGACTGAGGAAAGTCATTGTACCCTCTGCTTGAACGGGCACCGAATGGTTGCTAGCAACAACCACTTCCTTCACATTGGAGGGCTTCAGGCTGTGAAGGAGGGATGCATGAGGGGTCATATGTTGATCGCATCCACTGTCCAGAAACCAAATCTTGGGGTCCTGTGTAAGGGCATGGAGACAAGAGGATGATGCAAATGCAAAACTCGGTGTACTTGGTTGAGTTGAATCTTTCTCATGTGACAAGGTTGGCGTCTGCGAAGTGTTGGCTTGATGAGTCGCCTCTGGTGTGAAAGAGGGTTGTGGCCCAGAGGGAACAGAGACTTGGTTTTGAGATGGGACTTGGGAAGCATCCTGAAAAGATGGTCCATGATGCGCATTGCCTGGTTGATATCCTGGCGGGGTATGGGATGTGATAGCAAGTGCAGCCTTTCCTTTGTCAGAGAGGAGAGATGAAGGTGGTGTCCAGTTGGCAGGACGTACATTGCATTTGAACCAAGGATGCCCCCATTTATGACAAAAGTGACACTCAAACTGATATCTTGATTTTGGCTTATAAGGAATCAAGTTAGAGTATGATGCAAGCTGAGAAATGTGATTGGGTGCAGGTTGGCCAAGAAGAGAATGTGCTTGGGAAGGGAGAGACTTACTTTGTTGAAACTTACTCTTTTGTTGAAATCCTTGTTGAGGACCATAGTTGGAACTTGTCATTCCACTCCATGCTGGTCCAGGGTCCTTTTGAAGCTTTGCAAGTTCTCGTGTCTGGTGTTCAGTGATGAGTGTGTTGAAGATGAAATCTCTGGTCCTTGTCTCCCCAGGAAAAGCTTGGATGGTGCTCCTCATTGAGCTCCAAGTGGATGAGAGTCCAGCAAGAAGAATGGTGATGAAGAGGGATTCCGGAACTTCAATGTCGAGAAGAGTAGCTTCGTAAAGAACCATTTCACCGCGTTGCAAATAGTCGGGGATGGACTCACTGTCCCCCATGCGAAGTGAGACGACTTTGTTCCAAACTTCTGCCTTAGAACCTTGGGAAACAGGTTGATGAAGACGTTTGAATCGCTCCCACGCGGCTCTGGCGCTGTCCTTTTGAGAGGATACGAGGAGGAGGGGTTGAGAGTAGGGATCTTGAATGGAAGAGAGAAGATAGAGATAAGCTTCAGCATTTCTCTTGATCCAGTTGTTTTGTTCTTGAGCAGGTGCAGCAGTTGAAGGGGGGCAAACTTGTCCGGTGTAGACGCCCCACAAATCCAGAAGGGTGGCAGCTTGTTGGAAACGGATACTCCAAGATGTGAAGCCCTTGCCATTGAAACGCGGAAGTTCCAATTTTGGAACTAAGGAGGAGGTAAATGTGGATGTAGTCAGTGGTGTAGATGGGGGTGGTGTGTTGATTGTAGGAGGTGCAGACTCATTTGAAGAGTTGGTGGTGACAGCAGGTGAAGTTGATCCCGTTGGAGCACTTGAGTCTTTTTCATCCATGTTGATTGAATTTTCTGAAAATAATAAAGCAACCTCACACTAAAGAAAAAGAAAATAGACAAAAACAAAAACAAAAGCAAACACACAATACACACACATACACGTACAAGAAAAAGAGAAAAAGAAACACAAAGAAAGGATCCCACAAGGGGCACACGACCACGCGCAAGAAAGCCACTAATGGCAAACAATATGCGCACTAACGAAGCAACAAAAAGGAATGAACTCGTGCTCTGATACCATCTTGAAATTTGGTAAAGGATTAGGAAGGGTAAATAGCAAGTAGAGAGAAAGAAAACACCTAGAAGAAAGAGTTAAGAGTGAAGTAAGACAAATTTGATAAGATAAAGAAACTCTTTAAGAAGAGATTGAGTAAGAACGTGAAGGCTTTAAATAAGAAGGTTAAAGATAAAAATGACAAATTTGAAAGAAAGATGATGAAAACATTAAAGGGAAAGAACAATTGATTGAAAGAAAGATATTGAATGGGTGATTGATGAAAAGGTAAAGGAGCTTTAAACAAACTTGATAATGTCAATTAAGATTTGAGAAGAAAGGAGACTTGATAAGAATGAAGAAGCTTTAAATAAGGAAGCTTGAATTGAGAAGCTTGACTAGAGTGAAAAGAGGAGGTGACTTATCTTAAAGAGTCTTACTTGTCATTTGAAGGAGCTTTGTAACTTGAAGAAGCCAAGCTTGAATTGTAAATCTTGATTGTTGGAAAGAGAGTGAGATCCAAGCTTGATTGTTGAGTAGTAGATCTTGATTGTTGAGTGGAGAAGCACCTCCAAGCTTGAGTGTTGAGGTGTAGATCTTGTTTGTTGTGTAGAGAAGAACCTCCAAGCTTGAGTGTTGAAGGTGAAGCTTGAGTCTTGATTAGAAGAAAGTCAAAGGTTGATGTTGAGGCCTTAAAACTTAAAATGCACTAGTCCAAAGGAGGTACATGATGGACTTAAAGAGCAACCATTGATAACAATCTAGTAGAAAGACTATGAAGCATAAGCTTCTCTAGAGTTGGAGAACATGGCTATGAGCTTGGTTTGGGAGAGGTTGGTGATGAGTGGAGCCTTAGGAGTTGGGTATGAGGAGGAGGACTTTGAAGTGGCCTTGAGAGAGCTTGGAGTAGAACTTGTGGAGAGCTTGGGTAAAAACTTGCTTGAAAAGTATAAGTAAAGAATGGGGTGGACCCTTTGTTTTGTATTTGGTGGAGCTTGAGGTTGGATGAAGGAGAGGAGGAGATGAATGATTGTGATTGGTTAAGTTGGATAAGGTGGGGGTGATGAATGTGGCCTTGAAGTGAAGGCTTGGTGAGTGGGATGAATGTGGCCTTGAATTTAAGGCTTGGTGAGTGGAATGAATGTGGCCTTGAAATTAAGGCTTGGTGATTGGAATGAATGGGGCTTTGATTTAAGGCTTGGTAGGGAATCTTTGGATTGATTGGTGGAGTTTGGGATGAGAAGGTTGAGGAGGATTGGAGAAGAGATGAGGTGGAGGATTGAAGGATTTGTATTGGGTGAAAATGGAAGTGTGCCTTGCTGACTGGAGATAAGGATGATGAAGTGGCGAATGGGTAATGTTGGTAGATGCCCTTTGCAGATTCGAATTTTGGCTGACGGGGAAACTGTGGCGAAAATTTTCGCCACGTGAATTTTTTCCCGCCACCCTGGTGCCACGCGAGCAGCAGCAGCAGTTCATTCCAACAATTTAGTGGGGAGTAAACAGTATTTGCTAGAATTGTGCGCCGTGGAATGCGGAAAGCCCCACTTGGAATGGAATGGATCCGAAAGAAAGAAAAAGAACGGTTGACAGTACAGTACATTACGGTTGAATGTCATTGAGAGAGTATGAAGCGCGTCAAAACCCGACCAACACGTCAGCAGCGTTGGGGATTTTTTGTGTGCATCGAATGCGTGCAAAGCAAAACCACCTCAGTTGCAATACCTCACCTCGGTATAAGGTGACTCACTAAAAGATCCAGGGCAGAAGTTGTTTTAAATTCGCCAACTGATATGGTACCTCATTCTATCCAATCCGGCATTGATTGGAGAACCATATGCCAACCAGCTCTAAACAGGTTCCACTGTGATACAGTAGGCCCTTAGAAAACATGAAATTCACACAAGGGTGGCCACCAGCTCTTCTCAGCCTCAATAGGTCTTCCTCCTTTCAAGCAGAGGGGAGGTTACGTAGAAGCATCCAAACCGCCTTTGGAGGCAGTCCAGGCCCTTCAAAAACAGCTGGTGCTGTCTCTCTGCTGCAGTCAGTTCAAAGCAGTAACCCACAGGCTGAGTGAATCTGGCCAGTGCAGTGTTAGGCTCAGTTAGACCAGAAAAGGCGTGTGCGACAGAAAGTTGGGCGGGAGAGTGTGAGTAGTAGTTAGTATCCCTGTGAATGAGGTATCCCTCCTCATCTTCCTCATCCTCATTGGTGTCAGTAGCATCATAATCTCCATCATACTCCGATTCATCCTCTTCCTCGTCCTCCTCTTCCTCGTCCTCCTCCCCCTCTACAGTCACATGAAGGCCCATCAGTGTGGGGATGTTACAGAGAATGGAATGAAGCAGAAGCAGGCCTTCGGGTGTCTTTTCCGCAATTCTCACAGTAAGCACTTCTACCCGAGGCCACAAACAGCCATCACCAGATGCTTCACTTTTTCCCGGTGACTGTAGAAGACCCGACACCACAGCTGAGTCAACCATATTCTGCCACGCCAGCGTGCCCAACCGCAAACTTCTCAAACCCGGGCAGTTTCGTGCGAGCCAGGGCAGCGACGAAACCGAGGGCAGACCCGAGCTGCTGGTCGCAAAAAAGTCGAGGGAGAGCGACTCGAGCGCCGAATTGGACGAAATCAGGGTTTCAATGGCTGCCCAGTTGAGCGAGCCCGCTCGAAGGTCGATCGACACGAGTTGATTGGAGTGAGGCGCGGAGAGTAGCAGGCTGTTTGCCGAGGCAACAGAGAGTTGGCGCAGGTTCGGCGCGTCACGTATGGATAGCGCACCGAGAAACATGTCGCGGTGAGAGAGGTGTTGGAGAGAGCGCGCGGAGTGAATTGTTACGGAGTCCGCGCGAATGTAGGAGAGAGAAAGGTGCTGCAGGGACGGGGGAAGACGCAGTTCTAGGTGAGGGAAACCCGACGCCATGAAAATCGTGAGCTGGCGGAGGTTCGGAGTTGCTTCTAGCACAGCGTGAAGCGCGGCGGGGGACGAATGGAGCCATGAGAGCGAGAGGTGCTGCAGGGCCGGCATGGGCTGGAGAGTGGCGAGCAGGGTTGGTGCTGAGAGTGACACGTGGCCCAATGAGAGCGAGCGCAGGCTGGTGCAGTGGCGGGAAATGTGAGCTAGATGAAGACTCGCGTCCTCCTCCTCCCACAGGTTCACCACCACGCTCCCGTCGCCGCCGCCGTTGCCACCGCTGGCGCAACCGTCTCGAAGGCGCTTAAGGGAAGTAACGGCGGGAGGTGCGCGGGAGAGAGTGAGGGAGTGGAGAGACGGTCCGACGTGGCGCATCCACGCCTCAAAGATGAACTCCCGCGGATGTCGGGGCGGGGGGAGCGCTGCAGAAGCTCCAGCGGCGCCGTCAGTACTGGGACGTGCGCTGCCTGTGGGACTGGGTCTGGGACGTTTTCTTGAGGTTCCGTGACATCCGGTTGACGGTGTCTGGCTGGGGGGACAGCACGGCCCTCCAACGCTAGCAGGCGGTGCGGGGGGCGAGATCACGGTGAGGTGGCGCAGGGCGCGCGTGCGGAGGATCATTCGCGAGGCCTGGCGCTGATGTGTGGGCAGAGGGGAGAGGGGAGAGGGGGGAATAGAGGGTGAGAAAGTGAGCAGCAGAGGAGAACATATTCTCCGCCCAGGGCGCTGATGTGTGGGCAGAGGGGAGAGGGGAGAGGGGGGAATAGAGGGTGAAATGGTGAGCGGCAGAGGAAAACAAGTATTCTCCACGCAGGGCGCGGGTGTTGAGGATCATTCGCGAGGCCTGGCGCTGATGTGCGTGTGGGGAGGTGGGGGATTGAGGGTGGAAAAGTGGGCGCCTGAGGAAAATGAACACATTTTCTTGCAAAAGAAGAGACAAAAACAAAAGCTAGAACGAACAGAATTAAAGACAGATGCATAATTCACCTCTGGTTAGCAAAAGCCATGATGGCACAGTCTGGCTGAGGCCCAAAACTCACCTCAAACGTCAAGTACGGAGCCTGGTTAGCAGCCGCGCCGCCGCCACTCGCTCCCAGGCACATCGCAGGCACGTTCCGCGTCACTTCGTTCCACCGTCGACACGTCATCGCGGCCCGGGTGACGTCACGCGCCGCGCTGCCCACGCGCGAGAGGACCGCGAGAAGCAGCTCGTCGGGGAGACGGGCGAAGGGATCCATGATGGATGAGTCCTTGACCGTCGGGGAGACGAGGAGTCGTTGCTGAGAGCTCCGCCTTCTTGCCTTGCTTCTGCAGCAGAAATCCGAAGCGCGCGTGGAACAAAGGGGCTGGTGCGAATCGGGTGCGCTGTTAGTACAGCTGCCAGCAGCACGCGGAGAAGGCCGCGATGGCAACTGACAAAGCGAGCAGCCGCTGCTGGAAACGGGCGAGTGGGGTTGTGATAGATGACGGTGTCGAGAAGCAGTGCTTTAGCGATAAGTTATAAGAGCAGTCCCTGAGGGATAAAGGAGTCCTTTCGGAACTTCCGAAAGATTGGTTGCCCGCGGCCCCCCTAACGTGCCCTGCCTAGCCAGTTTCAGCTGCATACAAGAAGTGACCTGGCGTGCCACTTTCGGAAACTTCGCAAGAAGTGACTCAAGTTCAAACGAACGGCTGGAAGGGGCAGCGCGGGAAGTGCGGCGCGTAGCATCTGAGCCACCATCGCTCCGTTAATTAGTCATTAATACCAAATCCAGTACCAAATCGACTCGAATCGAGTACAAGAGTACAGAATTCCGTCAGAACTTCGACTCGAATCGACTCAATCGGATTGACGGTTCCTGACGAAAGACGACCTGGCGCCGCTTTCACAGTCTCCGTGCCACGTGAATGTACAGTCACCATTCGACAACCTATCGAGCAACTTTCGACCCACCACGTGGCTCCGCATCCGTCAGCGCAATGCTTGGCCTCACAATCGCGTGCTCACGGCACGCCCAAGCCCTCTCGCCCTGCAATGTCATGTCGTCTCTTATCTCCGTCACTCCGTGGATCACCGATGCATGCCATGCCAGTGGCAGCACCCTGGACTCGTAGAGGACACGGCAATGATCTACATTCGGGGCCCACATGGGCATGCGCTATTGGCTGCATGGATGCCGGCGGGGGACCATTCACTGTGGAAATCGGTTTGGCGGCAATAAGGCGCAACAACAGAGCTCGGCGAGACAAAGAGAGCGCGCCTAATCGTAGTGACCACATGAACCTTTCTCTAGTTTACAAGCGAGAGGAAGAGAAATATCGTCGCAGACTGAAAGAAAACAAAACAGTAAATACAGCAGCGTTTCTGTTCACACGAAACAGCAGCTTGCTTTGGCCGATCAAATCTCGCAGCGTAGGACGGACCAATGCCAGGCTGTATGTTGTAGAGTACTATCAGCTGTTTCGGGTTTTGTCTGTTTGGCCCTTGTGCGGTGTGAGTGACGGTATGGAATAACGAAGATGACTCACAACAAAGGGTAGAAGGGCGAGTTCGTGAGGGTAGAAGGGCGAGTTCGTGAGGGTAGAAGGGCGAGTTCGTGAGGGTAGAAGGGCGGAATAACGGCGTTCTCCGCTGGTCCCTTTGCAATGTCCGCCTCTCTGCGGCATGGTGCAGGACCGGGCGTTTGTTCGTTCGTTGTGTGCTGATTGCGGTACTGTACTTGCATTAAAGCAGCCAATGGAATTGGCGCAGAATTTATAGTCCAATAAAATTGGCGCTGAATGGCTTGGGTTGGGTCAGGTTGTACGTAGACATAATCTGCCGCAGGATTCTGCCACGAGCCGCAGGATTCTGCCATAATCAGATCGATTCGCTAATCTGGCTAGAATTTTGCGCCGTGGAATGCGGAAAATGCCACTTGGAACGCGAAAGAAAGAAACTGAACGGTTGACAGGCATTTGAAAGTTTGAAGCGCGTCAAAACCTGACCAACACGTCAGCAGAGTGAGGGAATTTTTTGTGCATTGAATGCGTGCAAACCTCAGTAAAATACCTTGGTATAAGGCGACTCACAGGAAGATTGAGCTTCTCGCGCAGGGAACACGTTTGTTTCTTTTTGGCCAGCTAGTTCCTTACAGAAAATGTCCTCAAAACTAAGGGTCAGCCTAAAAACAGTTCGGAAAAAATCAGGGCCAGACAAAAACTCCACGTTGTGAAGATGAAGTCGAAGGGCCAAGAGGAATCAAAGAGTCGCAGACAATTAGGGAATGGGTCTTTGGCAGATGCAGCATCAAGGAAAAATGTGGGGACATGTTCGAAGCATGTTCTCGCGCCGCACGGTAGAATTTCAATGTAATAAGGGAGTGCATAAACAAACGAATGCTTTTGCTATACCGGTTATCACTTCTCTCATTTTATATTCACTCTGACAAGCATCATCATAATTCACTTCCGCTACAAAACAACCTGCGATCTGCCCTGATCACGATCTTGGCTAAGACCCCCGTGAGATTCTAACACCACCCACCACCTTAGCTGCCGTCGGTGCTCCCTTCACTCTATACTCTATATTGTACCACGTTCGGTAAATCCCTCTTTCCAACTAATTCCCTCTATTCTTGTTCACACCCCGCTTCCTCCCCTCACGTTTCGAGACGTCTCAACACTTAATTGCCTTTACTCTGCTTCACGCTCGCCTTCTTCCCCTCCCCTTGCCCCACCGCCTTGGTCACCTGCTGTGCTGCCTTCACTCGATACTCTGTTTCGGGCCTTCGGCAGATCTTGCGCAAAGGTACCACCTCCTGATGGGGGAAAGGAAGTGATGGAGGGAAGGGGGTTGATGGGGGAAAAGGGGTTGCTGCCCTGACCTTGTCACCTGCTGTGCTGCCTTCACTCTAAACTCTGTCGCGGGCCTACGGCAAATCTTTATGCAGGGGTACCACCTCCTGATGGGGGGAGGAGACGGCAGGGGAAGAGGGAAGCAAAAGGGGAGGGGAAGAGGGAAGGGAGGGGGGAGGGGAGAAAGGGAGGGTTCCTGTTTTGGCCACCTGCTGTGCTGCCTTCACTCGATACTCTGTCTCGGGCCTTCGGCAGATCTTGCGCAGAGGTACCACCTCCTGATGGGGAAGAATGAAGGGGGGAGGATGGGGGCAAGGGAGCAAGGGATGGTGAACGGAATGGTGAGGGTAAGGGGGGGCTATCCCCTTTCACTCTCTGTACTTTCTTCTCGGGCCTTTGGCAGATCTTGTGGAGAAGGGTGATAAGTCGATTATTGAGTCGACTAAAAAATCGATCTTGTGGAAAAGGGTGCTACTTCCTGACGGCGAGAGGGGAAGGGAAGGGGTGGTAAGAGACTGGAGCACGAGTGGGCGAGAGGGTTTGACTTTTCATGATGCCAGCACCCAAGAACCGGCACCCACACACCCTCACACTCACATCTTGCCTCCTCCTCTGCACATCCAGCACACAGCCACTCACCTCAGCAGCATGATTGCCTCTGAGTGTGTGCACCCATCTCACCTCGGTGTTGTCGCGGTGGTACCACTTCGGACCTGTCCTCGCATGCTCTAACGCCCCTCACCTCGGTGTTGTCGTGTTTTGAGACGTCTCAAAACCACGTCCCCACTCACCTAAGTAGCAGTATCGCCTCGAACCTGCCCTTGTATGCTCTAACGCCCCTCACCTCGGTGTTGTCGTGGCAGTACCACTCCCAGAACCGGCATCTGCATCCCCTCACATCGTGCCCTCTCCTCTGCACGTCAGTGGATCCATGCTCTCACGATCCTCCTCACAAGAGCAGCACAGGACTGACCTCGGTGCACCCCCTCACATCGTGCCCTCTCCTCTGCACGTCAGTGGATCCATGCTCTCACGATCCTCCTCACAAGAGCAGCACAGGACTGACCTCGGTGCACCCCCTCACATCGTGCCCTCTCCTCTGCACGTCAGTGGATCCATGCTCTCACGATCCTCCTCACAAGAGCAGCACAGGACTGACCTCGGTGCACCCCCTCACATCGTGCCCTCTCCTCTGCACGTCAGTGGATCCATGCTCTCACGATCCTCCTCACAAGAGCAGCACAGGACTGACCTCGGTGCACCCCCTCACATCGTGCCCTCTCCTCTGCACGTCAGTGGATCCATGCTCTCACGATCCTCCTCACAAGAGCAGCACAGGACTGACCTCGGTGCACCCCCTCACATCGTGCCCTCTCCTCTGCACGTCAGTGGATCCATGCTCTCACGATCCTCCTCACAAGAGCAGCACAGGACTGACCTCGGTGCACCCCCTCACATCGTGCCCTCTCCTCTGCACGTCAGTGGATCCATGCTCTCACGATCCTCCTCACAAGAGCAGCACAGGACTGACCTCGGTGCACCCCCTCACATCGTGCCCTCTCCTCTGCACGTCAGTGGATCCATGCTCTCACGATCCTCCTCACAAGAGCAGCACAGGACTGACCTCGGTGCACCCCCTCACATCGTGCCCTCTCCTCTGCACGTCAGTGGATCCATGCTCTCACGATCCTCCTCACAAGAGCAGCACAGGACTGACCTCGGTGCACCCCCTCACATCGTGCCCTCTCCTCTGCACGTCAGTGGATCCATGCTCTCACGATCCTCCTCACAAGAGCAGCACAGGACTGACCTCGGTGCACCCCCTCACATCGTGCCCTCTCCTCTGCACGTCAGTGGATCCATGCTCTCACGATCCTCCTCACAAGAGCAGCACAGGACTGACCTCGGTGCACCCTCTCACATCGTGCCCTCTCCTCTGCACGTCAGTGGATCCATGCTCTCACGATCCTCCTCACAAGAGCAGCACAGGACTGACCTCGGTGCATCCCCTCACATCGTGCCCTCTCCTCTGCACGTCAGTGGATCCATGCTCTCACGATCCTCCTCACAAGAGCAGCACAGGACTGACCTCGGTGCACCCCCTCACATCGTGCCCTCTCCTCTGCACGTCAGTGGATCCATGCTCTCACGATCCTCCTCACAAGAGCAGCACAGGACTGACCTCGGTGCACCCCCTCACATCGTGCCCTCTCCTCTGCACGTCAGTGGATCCATGCTCTCACGATCCTCCTCACACGAGCAGCAAACGACTCACCTCGGTGTTGTCGTGCCGGTATCGCACCCAGAACCGGCACCTACACCCCCTCACGTCATGCCTTCTCCTCTGCACATCCCTCACATCAGCATCGAAATACAGCGCCTGGTCGGAAGCTTCCTGGAAGCAGAGCACAACGTCCCCAGGCAACACGGCGACACACTCGGAGCCCTCGCAGGGGATGGAGCGCGGGCGCACGGAGAGGCGGGCAGATACCCACTCGTCTTCCTCGTCTGCAAAGCCAAAGAAACGCACTAGTACTTGCTGCTTGCACATAAGGGGAGAGGGCAGAGAGAGGAGAGAAAAACAGGAAACAAATGGAGGAAAGATTGAAAAAAAGGGGTGTATGAACCAGCAGGCAGGTAGGCCGTTGCAGACAGGCAGCCCGTCCCCAGGCAGCACGGCATGACGCACTCGGAGCCCTCGCAGGGGAGGGAGCGTGGGCGCACGGAGAGACGGGCTGATACCCACTCGTCCTCCTCGTCTGCAAAGCCAAAGAAACGCACCAACACTTGCTGCTCGGGTGTAGGGGAGAAGAAGGGTTGGGGAGTGGGCAGCAGGATAATGGGGGAGGGAATGGAAACATTCAGTAGCAGACAGGGAGTGAGTGAGAGGTAGCACGTCCCCAGGCAGGCAGGCAGGCAGCACGGCATAACGCACTCGGAGCGCGGGCGCACGGAGAGGCGGGCAGACACCCACTCGTCTTCCTCGTCTGCAAAGCCGAAGAATCGCACTAGCACTTGCTGTGTGTGGTGGGGGGGAGGGGGGAGCGGGGGAGGAAAGGGAGGGGAAGATGGGGAGGGGGGGATGGAAAACAGGCAGTGGGAGAAAGGCAGGAGGGCGACATGCAGCACGTCTCATCCCCAGGCAGCACGGCGACACACTCAGAGCCCTCGCAGGGGAGGGAGCGCGGGCGGACGGAGAGGCGGGCTGACACCCACTCGTCCTCCTCGTCTGCAAAGCCGAAAAAGCGAACGAGCACTTGCTGTGTGCGTGCGGGAGAGGGGTACAAGCAAGCCAAGGCCATTGACGGGAAGAGAAGGAGGGGGGCAACTGGGGCATACGAGCCGATACCCACTCTCCTCCTCGCCTGCAAAGCCAAAGAAACGCACCAGCACTTGCTGCTTGGGTGTGGGAGAAGAGGGACAGGGGGAAGAGGAGGGACGAGGGGGAGAGGGGCGGAAGGGAAGGCGGGAAAGCGGGGAGAGAATATTAAACAGGCAGGGGGAGACAGGCAGGGGGAGACAGGCAGGGGGAGACAGGCAGGGGGAGACAGGCAGGGGGAGAGGCAGGGGGAGACAGGTGCAATATCTCATCCCCTCCGCTGACTCATTCCTCTCTCTACTTGCTGAGTCACCGGAACATTCTGCTGACTCACCTTATCCCCATGCTGACTCACCGTATCCCCTTGCTGACTCACCTCTTCACCGGATTCGGTCTTCTGATGTGCCAAGAGGCTTGCCACGTCATACCTTGAAAGGATGGGTGGGATGGGTGAGAATGGGTAAAAATGGGTGGGAATGGTGAGAGAGGATGGAAATGGGTGGGAATGGTGAGAATGGGTGGAAAATTGTGCAAAGGAGAGAAAACGAGGAGGAATGGAGAAAGACTTGGTGGTAACGCTTTACACAAAACAGTATACACCAACACCACACTGCATATACCATATATACCATACAGCACGCCGTGTTACCATTGATTATGTACCATGCACCGTCACGCACCGTCAAGAACCGTCATGCACCAATCTCCTTTACAAGCAACATGCACCATGTACCCATATGTACCCATATGTACCCATACGTACCCATATGTACCCATATGTACCAATCTCCTTCACCATACCCCACTCGCCTTACCATGCGCCGTCCCTTGCGGATCGAGCTTCATACTCCATCGCACCCCACCAGCACCGATCAGGACCTACAAATACCTACGAGCACCTACTAGCATCTACTAGCACCTACTAATCAGCTCGAAAAGGACCAACAGCGGTTACTAATCAGTACGAGTCGCTGTCACCACCACCGTATACGTACTCTACGCGGCTTCCTATGGAGCTAGTTGTCTTGGCGTTAAAGCACAGCACGAGTGACGTCAGACCGCTGATGACACCAGCTCGGTTTGTTTTTGAGTCGACTCAACAGCTTCCTACGGCGCTAGTTGTCTTGGCGTTTTTTGAGATGTCTCAAAAGGCGGTAAAGCATAGCGCGAGTGATGTCAGACCGCTGTTGACACCAGCTCGGTTTGCTGTTGAGTCGACTGTAAAGCTTCCTTCGGAGATAGTTGTCTCGGCGTTAAAGCAGGCCACCGAATACGTATTCGAGATGGCACGAGTGATGTCAGACCGCTGTTGACACCAGCTCGGTTTGCACACCAACGCCGTTTCAGTTACTAAGTCCAAAGGCTTCTAGACTTCGCCTCGTAGCGTCACGGCGACCTGTATAGTAGCAATCGCGTCCCTGCTAATCGCGAGGTTGTGAAAGCTATCGGGTCGTCGGCTTATGTGCGAAGGCGGTCGAGGTAGTACCTCGAAGGGCGGTGTACAAGAAAGCCAACGCCGCGACAGGTGCTGTCGTGTATAGATAAGGATGAACTGGCAAAAAAACTGGGCGACAAAACGGCCATGCGCATCCGGGGAATCGAACCCCGGTCAGTACCGTGGGAGGGTACTATGATACCACTACACTAGATGCGCGTGTCACATATCTAAAGTCGCATTATTGTTGACTTTTAAACATGGAATGAACCAGAAACAACAAGCATGCATAAATGGGAAGAGTTCTGGTTTTTCTTGTGGTTGAAGTGGAGATGAGAGCACCAGAAATGCCTACGACGTATAACCAGCTCATTTATACTGACACGCTATAGAATTGTAAACCATTGTGGCAGCGGTGGGAGCACCCCTAAAACCGCCAGCAATCGCGCAGACAAAAACACACAGTAAGCCGCCACAAGAACAACTCCTGTTCTCTTGTCCAGCACCACTCCTCTGCTCCCCCCTCTGCCCGAGCTTCCCCTCCCTATACTGCTGTCATTACTGCCGCTGCTACCAAACTCCCCACTTCTAACATACCCATTAGTACCACCACCAGCCACTCCTATGCCCCTGCTTCCTCCCCCATCCCCTCCCCAAATCCCACCCCTTCCTCCAATCCCACCCACAGGATCTTCTCCCCTGTCTCCCAACCAACCCAGCCGAACCAGCACAAAGAGCAACACGAGGAAGAGAAACCCGAGGGTGAATAGGAGGGTGTGATCCACAGGAACCACGTAAGGTTCAGGGTATCTGGACCAGCAGGCGAGCACTAAAGACAAGCCCAGGCCGACCAGCGTGTTGAAAAGAGGGCCGGCGAAGCAGCCCGACCAGGCGATCTGCAGCCGTGATTGGTCGCCACTGGCAGCAAAGGACAAATTGGCGACTAGATCCCCGACTGAGTTACCCCACGCGAGGACGGTCAGCGCCAAAATTGGAGGGGAAATTCCGAGGATTACCCCCAGGGAGACCAGGAGCGCCACGAGTTCGTTCGCGAGCGCATAAAACCAGACGACGGACATGGCAAAACTGGCAGTTACCCAGAGTAAAGCGGGTAGAAAGGACTGCGGCGGGGATTCCTCTTCCGTAGTGTAGTATGTCAGACAGGCGAGGAAAACCCCGAGGCAAGCGGCGAGGATAAAGGCCAGGCGATCGGAATCAGCACCCAGGACAAAGGTGGTGAAGAGGAGGGGCGAGAGGAGGGAGGAGGCGAGTGCAAAGGGTTTGGACCACTCGTCTTTGTGGTGGACTGGGATGGAGCAGAGAAGGGGCAGCGTGAGCGGGAACTTTATGAAGTACTCGCAGAATCCGGCAAAGGTCCAGGGGCGCTGGATGGTGCAGTGCGGTGGAGGGGGGTGGGGTAGGGTGGGATGGGGAGAGGTAGAGTGAGTTGGGGTTAGTGTGGGAGAGGGGGAAGGCAGAAGGAAGGCGTGCTGAGTGGTGGAGAGTGGTGCTGTACGGTACGAGTACGAGATGGGAGTAAAGACAGCGGTGAAGTGCAGAGAGCATGAGACAGAACAAGAGGAATATTCTCCGTCGGTGGCATGTTGTCAGTCCACATACCAGGCAGAAGCACACGCCATACTGCAACAACCCCCCACCCAGCCACTCACCAGCTCAAGGTCTTCCACCTCCTCGTCATACCCCCACAGCGGCTCTGATAGCTATTAGCCCACATTATTATGAAAGATGAGCCCAAGCATCACTCCCCACTCGGCCACTCACCAGCTCAGGGTCTTCCATCTCCTCGTCATACCCCCACAGCGGTTCTCTCAGGTCATCTGTTACGCTCGGGGCCAAGCGGTTACCACCACTACGAGCAGCACCAGCAGCAGCAGTAGTCACACCACCAGCAGCAGTAGAAGCACCGGCAGCACCAGCACCAGCACTACCAGCAGCAGCAGCAGTATATGCATCATCAGCCCCGGAAAAATCAGCAGAGGCAGCCGAGTGGAGCACGGGGGGAGCGGTGCGGGACGGGGAGGAGGATACAGGCGGGGACAGCAGGCGGGGCGGCAGCACCACTGAGCAGCTGCCAGCTGTCACGTCCTCGGCCTCCACGTGGCCAGGTGGCGCGTCGCTATTGGCCGAATTCTCCCGGGAGAAGATGAAGGGGAGGGGGAGGTAGGTGCTGGGGTGGAGGTAGTGGTGGGTGTGCAGACGCGAGTGGAAGAGAGATCGTTCATGCGTCCACAGCCAGTGGGGTATCGTGGCTTGAGACACTGGGATGAATGGTAAGAGGGGGAGGGGGGAATGGAGGAATGGGAGACAAACAAGGTAGTGGTGAGTGTGCAGACGGGAATGGAAGAGTGATCGCTTGTGTGTCCCCAGCCAGTGGGGCAGAGCTGCTTGGGATATTGGGGTGCACAAGAGGAAAAGGAGAAGGGGAGCAAGAGTAAAGGTAGTAGTTGGGGTGGAGGTAGTGGTGGGTGGGTGTGCAGGCGGGAGGGAATGGAAGAGAGATCGCTTGTGTGTCCAGAGCCAATGGGGGAGAATAGCTTGGGACACTGGGATGGGGTGTATGTGGGGAGGGCAGGAAGAGGGGCACGAGGGAAGGACAGAGGGGACCGGGGGAGGAGAGAGATAGTGGTGGGTGTGCACAGGGAGTGAAGGAGCGATCGATGATGCGTCTACAGCCAGTGGGGTAGGGTTGCCTGGGATCGCATGCGATGGGGGATGGGTGACTTTTCAGTCGAGTCAAAAGTCACCTCGTGAAGGAGCAAGCGATCATGTGTCTACAGCCAGTGGGGTAGGGTTGCCTGGGATCGGATTCGATGGGGGATGGGGAAGACAAGACAGCAGCGCCTCAGTTCGAGTCAGCAGGCAGGCGAGTGGGTGGTGCAGAGTAGGGTGGACATTTGAGGCTCCTGATTGGACAAGCGAGTTGGAGCAGGGTAGGGTGGAATAGGCACACACACCTGTGCGGATGAAGGGGTGTATCTGGAATCGAGGAGTCCGTGCTTCAGGCGTTGGCAGGCAGTGGGAGAGCGCGACAGCGAGGCAGTAGGCGGGGTAGATGGTGCAGGGTAGAGTAGAGGACGGACAGAGTGTCATTCCGAGCCAGTGTGCTCACCTGAGCGGATGAAGGGGTGTATCTGGAATCTGGGGGTGCGTGCTTCAGACGTTGACAGGCAGTGGGAGGGCGCGATGAAGGGGTGGGGAGTGGGTGCCGGACAGGGTGGAGGCAGACAGAGGCCGGCACAGGGTCTCATTTCCATTCAGTGCACGTACCTGAGCGGATGAACGGGTGTATCTGGAACCGGGGGGTGCGTGCGTCCGATGTTGGCAGGCAGTGGGAGAGGGCGAGTGGGCGAGGCAAGGCAGTACGTGGGCAAGCGGGTGCAGAGTAGGGTGGAAGAAGTCAGAGTCTCGGATCGAGTCTCACTCTAACCAGTGGTTTCACCTGAGCGGATGAAGGGGTGGATCTGGAATCTGGGGGTGCGTGCCTCCGATGTTGGCAGGCAGTGGGAGAGCGCGACAGCGAGGCAGTAGGCCGGGTAGATGGCAAAGAAGAGCAGTGCGTGTGGTAGATGCACCGCGCGTTGCCATACCAGCACACACAGTGCCTGTGAGGGGGAGAGAGAGAGGGGGGACGGAGAGAGCAGAGCAACGTGTGAATGATTGACGAGGGCAGCAGTATGGCAGTAGGCGGGGTAGATGGCAGAGAAGAGCAGCGCGCGGGGTAGATGCACCGCGCGCTGCCAGACCAGCACACACAGGGCCTGTCAGGGGGGAAGAGGAGGGTGAGGAGGGGACAGGGCAACGAGTGGCTGAGGAGGGCAGGCAGGAAGGCAATAGGTGGGGTAGAGATCGAAGAAGAGCAGTGCGTGTGGTAGATGCACCGCGCGCTGCCAGACTAACACACGCACAGGGCCTGTGAGGGGAGGGGAAGGGGTGGAATGGTGGTGGGTGGGGACGGGGGAGCGCAGAGCAACGCGGGGTTGAGGAGTGGTTGGCAAGAGCGCGACAGAGAGGCAGTAGGCGGGGTAGATGGCGAAGAAGAGCAGCGCGCGGGGTAGATGCACCGCGCGCTGCCAGACCAGCACACACAGGGCCTGTCAGGGGGGAAGAGGAGGGTGAGGAGGGGACAGGGCAACGAGTGGCTGAGGAGGGCAGGCAGGAAGGCAATAGGTGGGGTAGAGATCGAAGAAGAGCAGTGCGCGGGGTAGATGCACCGCGCGCTGCCACACCAGCACGCATAGGGCCTGTGTGGGAAGAAGAGAAGGGGGGCGAGAGGGGGCAGGCAACGTGTGGCTAATGAGTGGTTGACAAGAGTGCGACAGCGAGGCAGTAGGCGGGGTAGAGATCGAAGAAGAGCAGTGCGTGGGGTAGATGCACCGCGCGCTGCCAGACCAGCACGCACAGGGCCTATGAAAGGGGGAGAGGAAGGTGGGGTGAGGGGGGGAAGAGAGGGGGCAGAGCAACGTATGGTTGAAGAGTGGTTGACAAGAGCGCGACAGCAAGGCAGTAGGCGGGGTAGATGGCAAAGAAGAGCAGCGCGTGGGGTAGATGCACCGCACGCTGCCACACCAGCACGCACAGGGAGGGCCTGTGAGGGGAGGAGAAGAGGCGGCGAAGCAGCGGACGATTGACAAGCGGATATGATGCAAGGGTAGGTGGAGAAGACGAGACATGTACGGGACAAGTGAGGTGTATTTTGAGGCGCCTCAAAATACACCTCAAGGGTAGATGGAGAAGACGAGACATGTACAGGACAAGTGAGTGGAGTAATGGTGTGACGAGTGAGGGGGGTGTGTTTGTGAGTGAGTGTGGACGAGCCAATGAGGGGCGGCTAACTATAGTTGTTATTCGACAAGGGGGGGAGACTAAAGGGCAGTGTAACAAGTTGAGATGCATTGCGGCGATAGGTGTGATTTGAATCGACTCAAAACATAGCAATGGGCGAGTCAACAGCAAAAGACAACGTGCGATTCAACACCATGCGATGCGAGCACCGTGCCACAATACAAGAGGGTGAGGTCAAAGGACAACAGATGCCACCGTGCCAATACAAGAGGTGTGCAACCGAACCGAGCTTGTGACAATAACGGGGGTGTGCTGAGGCGGACGAAAAACGCACCAAGACAGAGAGGAGGAAGAAGGTCAGGTCTCGTATAAAGGACGATCGGTGCAACTGGACCCTCGGAGCCTTGCTGGCCGCTACGAGACAAACGGAGCCGGCCACTACGGTGGAGACAAAACACGCCGCCCCCAAGACGCCGTTGAAGCCCACCAGGCTCTGATGTCCTTTTCCCACAAACGCCACCACGCTGCAAGAGACGGTGAGAGAGAAAGGAGGAGAGATATGGAAAGGGAAAAAAGGGGAAGCTGGAAATGAGGGGGAAGAGGGGCGAGAGGAGTCTGATGTACCTTTCAAACAAACGCCACCACGCTGCAGGAGATGGCGAGGGAGAAAGAAGGAAACAGGAGAGAGCAAAGGGAGGGAGAGGAAGAGGGGAGCTTTTCAACAAGTAAAAGATACAAGGGGTTGAGGAGAACTGAGGCGCCTTGAAGGCAAAAGGCGCCTCAAAACTCCCCTCTTCTAGAGAAGAGAGTGGCATGTAGTCCGCTCCCTCACACTCCCTTTCGTCACTCAATCTATCTATTCCTCTTTAACATGTTCAGCCTTTCCCCTTTCACTCTCTCGATCCCACCACCCTCACCTGACGAGCACATCAGGAGCGCCATTCCCCAGCGCCAGCAGTGTCTCCCCCTTCTTCCCATCCAGCGTTTACAATGCCCCCCTTTCCCATCCACAACACTCTCTTTTCTCTCACACCCATATCCCCCAACCCACCCACCCTCAACCCACCCCCCCCTCCCCTTTCTCACCTGACGAGCACATCAGGAGCGCCATTTCCCAGCGCCAGCAGCAGAGCCCCCGCTACCACGGCCCCTTTCCCTCGCACTCACCTGTCCCTTCGCCTTTCCCTCCCTTGCACTCTCTTTTCTCTCAATCGAGAACTCTTGTCTCCCCATCCACACCCCCCCTCTCGTCCTCCCCAGCCCCACGACCCTCCCCCCCCCTTCACCTGGTGAACAGTTCAGAAGCCCTGCAACGGCAGCTCCTGTCTCCCCATCGGCAGCAACGTTACCCCTGCCCTGCTACAGCAGCTCCTGTCTCTCCCTGTGAAACCTCCTTCCCCCCACCACCCTTCCCAACTTCCCCACCCTCCCCTCCCTCACCTGGCGTGCACGTCAGAGGCGCCATTCCTCAGCAGCGGCAGCGTAACCCCCGTTACAATGACTCCCTTTCCCATCCCACGCACAACGTTCTCTTTTCTTTCACGTATCATCCCCCTCCAATCACCCTCAACCTTTCCCTCACCTGGCTAACACGTCACGGGCGCCACTCCCTGGCAGAGGCAGCGTAACCCCCGCTACAACGACTCCCTTTCCCATCCACCACATTCTCCTTTCTCGCACACACAGACCCCCTTTTCTCCTCATCAACCCTCCCCATTCTCCCCTCCCTCACCTGGCGAACACGTCAGGAGCGCCTTTCCCCTGCGGCAGCAGCGTAACCCCCCCAACAGAAGCCCCTGTCTCTTCCTCAACCCCACTTCCCTCCCACAACCTTTCCCAGCTCCCCCTCCCTCCCTTCCTCACCTGGCAAACACGTCAGGGCCGCAATTCCCCAGCAACAGCAGCCCCTTTCCCATCCCAGGCACAACGTTCTCCTTTCTCTCGCATACACATCCCCTCTCCTCCCCCGCAACCCTTCCCGCACCTCCCTCCCCTTTCTCACCTGGCGAACACGTCAGGAGCGCCATTCCCCAGCGGAAGCAGCGTCACCCCCGCTCCAGCGGGCGGCAGCCGCAGCAGCTCCGCGAGTTCTTCTAATGAGGGGCAGAAAAAATCCGCCGCGACGTTCCCCAGGAGGAATATCAGCGCCGCCAGCCACGTCAGCAGCAGCGCTACACCCAATACCGGGCTTCCTTCAAACGTGCAGTAGAAGAACTGGAGGTATTCCAGCTGCGCACCGCTGCGGCAGGCGGCTTCCGCGCGCACGGCGGCGCATTCCTCCGCGGGGGAGCCGTGGATCCGCGCTGAGCAGTTCCCGGGTGCGGGGTCGTGCGGGAGCAGCGCGGAGATCTTTCGCTTAGGTGGAGGGGAAGCGGCGGGAAATGCGGAGATGTTGTGCGGGGATGACGGCGGAAGGCTTGCCGCAACTGTGCTTATAGCGAAATTGGCGTCGGGTGAATGACTCAGCGCGGAAGTCCGTTCAGACGATCGCTGAAGATGTCGCTGAGAGTGCCGCACATCCAGTCGCTCAGACTGTCGCACGGACTGTCGCTCAGACTGTCGCTCGGCCTGTGGTATCTCCGTCGCATGGATCTCATTCTCGGCTGGCGACGACGAAAGCAGCCGTCTGTTCGGACCGACGGCCGTCGCATCAGACGTTGACGCCAACGCGGGAAACTCGCTACCGGAAAACGAAGACGCCGAAAACGAGGATGACGAGGAGGCGGAGAGGGAGAAGGGGGCGGAGGAATGAGAGGGAGGGGGCTCTAGTAACCTTTCTGAGTGGATGGCGAGGGGTTGTAACGGGCTCCGCCAGAGTAACAATGCGATGGCGGTGATGATCAACGTCAGCTTCACAGCCGTCGCCGACCATCGCCGAGCCATCGCCACGGTGCTCGCGAACGGTGTCGGCGAAAGCTGTAGAATGCTGCGAAATGATTTTGGCAAAAGAGTTGAGAGAATAGTCGAGAGAATTCCTGAGATTCCCGCGGTATTCAAGTTTCAGGTGAATCTTCAGCCGTCCTGCCTAAGCCTCGCTCCCGTTCTTCATTATCCTGCTTTTTAGCTGGAACCGCAGGAGGAGCTTCAAGATGTAACAGGCGTTCCTCGTGGTCACCCCTGGTGATAACCTAATGGCACTTCAAGGGTAACGTAATGGTGTTCCTAATGGTGACCTAGTGGTGTTGTAACAGTAACGTCACGGAAACCTGACTGTAACCTAATCCTAAGATGCGTCTCTTCTCTCGGCAAAAAGGAAGTAGTCTGCTTCGAAACTAGTCGCCACGCCTCCAAGAAACTAGACGCGCGGACACGCTTTAACTACTGCTACTCCATTTGCATGAGCCACGCGGTGCTGCTGCTCAGGAAGGAAAGCACAAGAAGAAATACTTACTCGAATTTCCTTGGACAGAAACTTATTCGAATTTCCCAAGAAACAACGGCCAAATGTTTTACTAGAGCGAAATCAATATCATCCCGTAACAAGCTCGCGGGCTTCGCTACCTAAACTAATGATGGACTCCTACGGGCAGCGAAAGTCCTTTCACTAGGAGCACGCCGCCATGGCTTAGGCTTCAGAGAGCTGAGAGTAGTGTGGGGATGAGGAGATACTGAAACAGGAGCACGTCAAATAACTAGTGTTGAGAGACACGAGTGACGTTCTGTTTGATAAAGCGGTTGAGTACGATTCTGTACAGTCTGCAGCGGTCTAGGTTCATGGCACCGCTTTGAACCAGTCAGAACATCTGTGGTCTGTAGTGTACACGGATGCTTTCGATGCGACGCGCTTTCAAAGGATGACCGTTGTCAGCCCGCACAGGCGCGCATTTCTCGAAGTAGGACAAACCAAACCGACTAGAACCGACGTATAACGACCAGAACCAGCTTGTCTCTGCTCGGCAACCCCACCAGTGCCGTGCGCGTACGGAGGGAAGAAGGGAGAGGAAGGGAGGAATTGCCGTTTCGGTTTGGATGATACGTTCGTACGCGGATAAAACGAAGGGCGTACGGTACGATGAGGTTGCACTGAACAACAACACTCTCCCTCCCGCTCTGTAGTCCGTCCGTGTACCCTGTACAGTTCCAAAGTCATCCAAGAAATGTGGAGGGGAACGTTGGGCGGTGTGGCGGCGGAGTATATTGTGCAGGACCGTTTTATAACAAGTGCGACATAATCGACGATCATTACACCAGTTTATCCCATCCTGCCTACGCAGGGTAGAGTAATCATGAGGCGGATTCAGTATCAGATTCAAGGGTGACCAGACGAGAACATGAGCATGCCTATTCAAATACCCTTTACTAGCCAGCATTATATATACATGCGAGTTAAGGGAGGTTTGGATGATGTTGAGAAAACCCACCACAATCAATCCATGCTTCTCAATGCATGCCGGGCTGGACCTGTTGTGCTCAAAACAAAAAGATCAGTGTCAAGTCATCTACTGATGAACTCTGTTTCAGACACTAGCACGCACTCATCCCAACCAACTGACCTATACCTAACCTCATTATGCATTGGAGGGCTCACGACGATGCTCCAATATGTACAAGCGCCATGTTAGCCACATACTCAGAGCAAGGATTCAGGCATCAACGGAGCTAACCTCTGATTGTCACGTGGGTTGTTTGAAGGCCATTATGTTGTACCGCATCCAACCATACCTTACCCCACAGAGCTGTTCAAGAACGCACTCTACCTTTCTGTGGCGTCCGCTAGTGTATGTTCCCTTACACATACCCCCTTATAACTCTATTCTGACACACAAATTTTCCCCTCCGCTGCACGCCCCTCCTTCCAAACCCAACTCCCAGTCACCTCTCCCTTCTTTCAACCCTGAATCCCCCTCCTCATCTGCCACCCCTAGAAACCGCCTCAACTCCTCTCTCCTCGAAACACACAATCTCGTGTCGTTCCCTTCTCCTGTTAATGCAATCTCCGTCCAAGATCCGCTCATCTCCTGCAATTTCTGCTGACCTTCCTGACGTTCTTCATCCTCCTGACCCTGAATTTCCTCCCCCTGCAAACGCCTACTGTCCGCCTCCCCCGTTCGTCTTCTTTGCGAAACTACTGCTGCTGGTGGTATTGCTGATGCTTCCACTGGAACTCTAATCCCCGCTCGTTCACATGACGTATCCGTTTCTGCTGTTGCCACTACCGCTGCTGCGGACGACGCATTTGCTTCCCTTGTTGCCGCATCCGCCGCTGCTCGTAGCGCTGGCGATGGTGCCAATGCTGCTGGTGAAGCATCCATTCCTGCTGTTGCTCCAATCACGACAATTTCGTGCTGCTGCGGGGAATCGTCAACAATTTCGACCTGAATGCTAACGCTATCAGTTACTGTCTCATTCACTGTCGCCGACGGATCAACCTCGTCGCTAGCCGTCGCATGTGTATCGCCAACATCGCCTGGATCGGCAGCACCCGTCGCCGGACCTTGAGAGTCTTCCTGCTGACCCGAAACTTTCGGGGGTTTAAAGTTGTATCGGCAGATGGGACACGTGGAATGCGCACAAAACCATATGTCGATACACGTGGCGTGAAATCTATGTCCGCAGGATGGTAACGTCTTGATACACTCTTCTTCCTCGTACTCGCCAAGGCACACAGCGCACTCGCGAAAACTCTCGCAGCAGCCTTCGCGAAGCTTTTCGCGGGAGAAAGTAACAGTCGGCAGCGCCTGAACGATCTCCGGATCGAGCCCCGTCGTCGGCGCTTTTTGCATCGCGCTGAGTTGCGTGCGACGCATCATGTGTTCTTCTAAGGTGAGTGTGCGATCATGAGAGCCGGGAGAATCGCGTGCGTTAAGCACCAGGAGGCACGCGCGGATGACCATAACAAAGAAGAAGAGGAAGATGAAGAGTATAACGAATACGGAGAGAACGGCACTGACGCTGGTCGAGAAACCCGCGGCTGCGGCAGCCACGGACTGGTTCTGTGCTCCTGCTCCCATGGGATTCGGGGTCGACATTATGGGACAATATTGAAATTGACAATAATGAAAGGAAGGGATGGGGGTAGGATCCGCTAACACCTAACTTTGAACCTTCTCTCTATTTGTGTTCTAATTATGCTCTAGCTGTCTAGAAACTTGCGTAGCTTTGAAAGAAATGAGCGTGAGGAACTTGGGCCAGTGAACAATGTAAGTAGGGAACGCAAGACTCATATGAGGAAGGACATCGCTTGACCGGCGCCTTTGTGTGTTGTCCGTTGTAAGGTAGCGGTTCCGTTGGGTTCCTCGCGATTAAACACGGTTTTCGTCTGTAACCGCTTTCAAATGCAGCAGACCGAAGCTTATCGTATAGGAACCGAAAACCAACGTCCTGGTTTGGAATTTGTTGATTGCGTTGTGCTCGTGCTGGTGCCCCCATCCCGTCAGGCGAAAGGAAGAAAGGGGCACGAAGAAACCTCCGCGTCTCACCGAACCGAACCCAGCTGGGGGAGGGGACAAGAATGACGCGACGCCACCAACTTCCAGTCGCTCAGGTCGGGTTCTGACCGCTAAGTCGCTGTCAAAAAAAACGAAACGAAACGCAACCAAGCTGTTCCAAACTGAGCCGGACTTCCCATGTCTTTCTGAGAAGTGCTTCAAATGTTTCGGGTTCAGGGTTGTGGTGTGAAGGGCGTGGCGTGAAGGGACGAAGAACTCCAATGAATGTATGCGATTCCCGACAA